AAGAAGAAGAGAGTGGTGGGGGCGGCGGCTACAACGGGAAGAAGGAGAAGATGAAGAAATGAAAAGAAATGAAAAGAAAGGGTTTTGGTTTTGGTTTTATAAAAAAAAGACCAAACCAAACCAAACCCAAAAGAAAGGACCAACTAAAAAAATAAACCCATCCCAACCTGAGATAAAACCAATCGTGCGCGATTCGATATACATAAATTTAATTAAAATAAATTTAGAATTTAATGAAAACCTCATAGTTCGAGTTTTAAACTAACTTGAAAGATACGGGATGTTACACTAATTGCTACCAAAACTGAATATTTAAGTGTTTAGACCATGATAGAACAAGATGCATTCATTTTGACATAAAAGCAAGTAATAAAGAACTACTTTTAAGTAAAACAAAGCTAAAAAATATGAATTTAACCTCTTTTTACCCTTATAAACAAAGGTAATCACATCCCCAAACTTAACCTATTGCTCGCCTTCAAGTAAAACTTAGTCATTTAATATTCCTTAAACAAACAAAACTTAGCCATTTAATATTCCTTAAACGCATGCAAAATAATGAAGCACAATAAAGTCAAGATATTTAATCATACAGCATCTTAGGAAAAGATGTCATAATTCCATATTCCATCTTCTTTATAAGCCAGTTCACTCTAACCCAAGTTTAAAGCGATAAAAGCTTTCTTAAAAAATCCCCTTTTTATCTAACACGAAAAAAAAAATAAAAGAAAATAATAAAATTTGATATCCCTAAGGAATCTACACACATCCTTTTTACTAAATGGACTCTCCGAAGTTACATTAGACCAAGTTACTACCCTCAAGGTTGTAACTATAATAGAGAATCATCATTTTAATTCGCAATCCTACGTAGTGTTGTATTAAAAAATATAGAAAAAATCTTAGCTTTCGTATTAATTTTCCAAATAAGAATCAAATCAATCATTTTTCAAAAGTACAAGAGACAAATGAACAAAAGTTTAGTCACGTTCCATAACAAGGTTGCCTCCCGTACCTATTTGTAAAATTTAGGAGATAAAAAGACCAAATCTTGTCATCAACAGTATTGAAAATTGCGAGCTCATTATTAAAAAAAAAAAAAGTGTAGAGAACATTTTAAGGACGCAAGTATTAATTGTCAAACATTTAAGGAGGTGAGAAGAAGATTGCTGATTAATGTGAAGGAGAGGCAAGTACTTCCCTAAAATTATTTTTTATGTAAAAGTAAAAAATTAAATTTAGTTGAGAATATAAGCATGTTAGAAAAGTAGTCGACAAAAACCAAATTAAAATACAATATTAAGCTACTACACTCACTAGCCATCGTCTGTATTCCCAGAGTTGCTGAGTATCATCAACAAACTATTTTTCTAAAAGAAAGTTAATTACCTTCTTCTACTTCCCCAACAAAATAAATAAATAAATAAGCATACAGCACCAACGAGGAATTTTCTTTTCTTTCTTTTTAATGGTGTATAACTCGTGCTAATGCCAAATTCTGGCCAAAAAAAAAATAAAAAAAGTTTCTAAGCATAAATAGAGCCGAGAAGAATCTCCATTCTTTAAGCAACTGCATTGGCTACCACGATTTGATGAGGCTGTTCACACGAAAACACACAAGTTCCAAAGAAAAAAAATCATCATTTGATTGGAAAAGTAATCAAATTATTATCATTGAAAAAAAAAAGAAATTACAGCTTACCGCAGCTAATTCCTGCTCATGTTTAGGAATAAATGCAGTGTCTACCTTACCAGTCTTGAAATCCTGCAACACAAAGGTTCTTAATCTTTTAAAATTCTCAATTAATTCATTCCGTATAAAATATTATCAAAATTTGTTACTATAAAACTAATTGGTATGCCATTAATTCATGGTTCTATTAATATATTTGGACACATGGGCCTACCACTTAAACATCACATCAAGAAATTGACTTTCCTAATGGATGAGTAGAATCAAATTTTGTTGATACACGGTTTAGGTTTCATATGTCAATTACGGAGTCTATGTGATGAGCTGATATGTCCACGTGTCAAAATATGTTAATAAAACAATAATTTACCAAGTAGAATTGAAGTTTCTGTTTACCTCTACATCGAGAATCAGCTTGTGGTAGTCAATGGTTGTAGGAACCCCTAAACAAGAATGAAATCCAATAGATTCAGCAGAGCACCACCAATTAATGTCCATTTACAAAAATCAACTAATAATAATATACACCACAGAAAGGAAAACAAAAAAGGAAAGATTATTGATAAACCTGGTCGATTACCTGTAATAATAGTATCATCAAGAGCCCTTTTCATGCGCTCAATTGCCTTCTCTCTTGTTGGAGCCCAAACAATAAGCTATACATAATAACCACAAACACATTAATAAATCCCCTCTTCTTCTATGCATAAAATAAAAGCCAAGTTTAAGGCTAAGGTCAGGACAGAAAAATTAGAAATAAGAAGGCATAATTTAACAAACCTTTCCAAGAAGAGAATCATAGCTCGGAGGCACTACATAATCAGTATAAACATGGCTATCCATCCTAACAAATGGTCCTCCTGATGGCAAGTATGATGTAATTCTCCCTGTCAATCGAGGCCAAAATCACGCCTTTAATTTTCAAATTTAAAGTTTCGATAGATTTTCATTTTCAAAACTGAAATTACAAAGTTAGAATATTTGAAGTGCTTGCATTGCATAACTTGTTGGAGCATCGTACCTGGTCCAGGTCGGAACCCTTTAAAGGCATCTTCTGCGTTGATACGGCATTCAATTGAGTGTCCTCTAAGCACAATATCTTCCTGCAGAGTGTACAAAACCAAACATCAAATGTGTACACAGGACATTTCTCAAATTCAAACAAACTTTCACTTACAACATTCCTTTTTTCACTATACCTGTTTGTACCGAAGCTTTTCTCCCATAGCTACCCGAATTTGTTCCTCGATCAAGTCAACAGAGGAGATCATTTCCGTCACTGGATGCTCGACCTGTTGTGACCAATAACCCATAAAAATAAAACATGACATCTCATTCCAATGATTCCACTAACAGATACGTAGGTATGTTGAATAAGATCTCAAATTGACCTGGATCCGAGTATTCATTTCCATGAAGTAGAAGGAGCCTCTTTCATCCAATAGGAACTCAATCGTCCCAACTCCAATGTAACCGATAGAGGCTGCGGCAGCAACTGCTGCATCACCCATAGCTTTCCTTAACTCAGGGGTCAACGCAGGAGATGGTGCCTCCTCTAGCAGCTTCTGGTTCCGTCTCTGCATTAGTGAAATAATATATACATAAGCTTTATACAGAGATAGAAACAATGTATGATCAAGTGATTTGCTTTCAATTTCAATCTTGATCATATTTATAATCTCGAAGGATCTTCATCCAAGTCAGTTTTTTTTTTTTAAATGAAAAGCCAAGAATGAAAGAATGCAAAAAGATCGTACAAAAAGACAGGCAAACAAAAGGAGCCAAACTAAAACGAGGGGCTCCAATCTAACAAGATCAAACCTAAGAGGTAATTACAAAAAACTTTGGACACCGAAGCCCCAAAGAGAAACATAAAACCGAAACAAGAGCTCAAACCCCCCAAGATTTCTCGACCCCTCTAAAAATCTTGTTATTTCTCTCATTCCATAGCCGAACCCACATAATAGCACAAAAACCCGCACACCATAAAAATTGCCACTTATCCCGAAATGGAGAGTGAGGGAAAACCTCCTCCTACATCGAACTACACACTCTAGAGCAAATAGAGAAAACCCCAAAAGCCTGAAACAAACAATTCCAAACAGAGAATGCAAACCGGCAAGACCACAAGATGTGCAAGTCAGGTGTACATGCACACCTACACACATTCAACTAGGGATTTCCATTTTTATCTCTCTTTTTATTATTATTATTATTATTATTATTATTATTATTATTATAAGAAACAATTTCATTGATGGTATGAAATTACAAAATGAGGAGCGACCTCATCCAACGGAGTTACAAAATAAGTCTCCAATTGGATAAAAGATTCGAAAAACTATAATGATGGTGGATTAGAGAGAGCATTTACATCATGATATAACTAGCATGACTATATCATTAAAAAAAAAAGAAGGAAAAGTGCACCCCTTGTCTTTAAAGATTCTGTGATTCCTCTCAAGCCAAGTAGTCCAAAAGAAAGCTCTGACAAAATTCTTCCAAAGAAGCTCCTTTCCTTTGTGGAAGGGGTCCCTCGAGAGTGAAGTGCAGGAGAGCTTTGGGGTCAGTAGGTAAGACTGTAGACCAATTGAAGGTGACGCGGATGAGGTTCCAAAAAGAGGATGCAAGGCTACAAGTGCTAAAAAGGTGATGCTGTATGTCTGAGCTATTATTGCAAATGGGGCATTGATGGGGGGAGAGACACATGTAAGGCAACCGTCTTTGTAGTTTGTCCGAGGTGTTAATGGCTTTTTTGCTAACCTCCCATTAGGGTAGTGATCCTTCAAGATAGATGCGTAGTTGAAATCAAGTGGTGGTTCATGCGCCCCAGTGGATAATGTTGTTAAGAGTTAGGAGGTCGAGAAGGTACCCAAAGATTCAAGCTTCCAGATCGGAGTGTCTTGGGAGGGAGAAAGGCTGGCTGATGGTAGGCGAGTGTTGATATCGATCCAGTCAGCAATTTGTGTGTCTTTCAAATTCCTCCTCAGCCTTAGGTTCACATATTAGAGTCAACCATCCAAAGGTCCTTGACGGAAGCAAACTTTTTAACAGAGAGGTCATATAGGCTTGGATAAGTGGTGGCTAAGGTGTCCTAACAGCCACTTATCATGCCAGAAAGAAAGGTTTGCACCTTCTCCAACCTTGTAAGTGATGTGATAAAAAACCAAGCTTCTGCAGTGGTAAATAGAATTCAAGGGACTTTTGGCACTAGATAAAGATAAATTCCCAGGTCTGGAAATGAGAGGAGAAGGCCGTATTTTGCAAAACTGATTTTGCTCCATAAGGCTGCCCTGCTATTCCTGTACCTTTGGTCTCATTCTATGGTGAAGGTTTTCCTTTCAATGGTGGTTGTGACTCGAGAAGCCTGGAGGAGACTTTGGAGAGTTTTAGTCGGAGCATGGTCGGAGAGTGCTAAGGGTGGGAGGGGTGGTCGGTGAGAGAGAGAGCATGGTGGTACTTTCCACCTAACCCTTATCTCTCTTTCTTATGTTTAACCTGTTTCTTTCTTCAGATAAAGTAATTCAAAATTTGCATTCGATGAATTGGACTCCAAAGTAAATTTTCATTCCCAAGGTAAAAAGTTTTGCATCCATTTTGGAAAATAACTTGCTTAAGCTAGATCAGAAAATAAAAAAGAAAAAACGAACTTTTCATTGATAAATGAAAATGAACAGTTCAATGATACATACTCCATTAGGAGTGAGCAAAAATAAAATAAATAAGAAAAGAGACAATAATGCCTCCCAATTCATACAAAGCATTCTAGGAGAATAAGAAGAGAAAAGATCGAAATGAACACACCATTGTGAAGCTTTGAACTTGGCTATTGAAAAGCAGTCCAAAGGAGAACGATTCTTGCCTTCAAAAATCCTTCGGTTACTTTAAAACCACAATTCTGAGAAGAGCTTTTAACCCATAAGCTCAAAGTAGATTGGCTTTTGAGTTAACTCGCAAACCAATAAGAAGCTGCAGAATAATGTGGGAAACTTCCAAATCCCACACCCATGAGATATTGAACAATGAGAAAAACAACTTCCAGCAAGCACCCGCGTAACTACGAGAGAAGAAAACATGCCTTTGAGTCTCTCCATTGGCCTTACACATCAAACACACCGAGGGTTGCATCAACATAGAGGACATTTTCTTTTGAAGTGTCTCTAAAGTGTTAACTTTGCCCATAGAAGAATCCAAGTCAGAAAATTAACTCTATTAGGATAATTAGAGTTCCATAGGGCAGAGAAAACTTCCTTAGGAATATTAGAGACCGAATTTCCAGTCTTACTTTAGGAGGAAGAGAGATAAATTTTCACCTAGTACAGTGGAGAGGAAGGGGGGCAATAAATTTCTAACTTTTTGTCCATCTGGCCCATTAGTGGCCTCGGTTGAAATGCCCTTAACTGCCGCTGGAATCGAGGAATCATCTGTAATAATCTCATTTGATTTCGCCTCCAATTGTTCAATTGGAGACTTTTCGCCTTCCTTTTCCGAAGACTGAGGGAAAACGCTAGGGCTCTGCTGGCAAACATCCTTAACCCAATTAAAGGCGACGTCCAGAGATAATAAAATGGGAATCCACAAACCCTAACTGTTCGACTTCCATTATTTCGTAAAATCGCTTCATATCCATTGGATTATCAAGCTGCTGCAAGTCCATCTTCGTGAAAGAAGGCCTATAAGAACTTGGATACGAATGACTTAATCCCTCAATTCTGATCACATAATCACCTAACCTAGCATCACTGATTTCGATCGATGCTGGCAAGAACACACATTTGTTGGGTTGAACCTGGATAATTGCCTCTGTGCAATCAATAAGATTCAAGGTGTTGACGGATTATACCAACCAGCACCCCACAATGGCTACCAATAGCTTCAAAGGTACATTTTTTCCAGTACATCAACGACAAATCAAGAACTTTAATCCATCCACCATATCCCTGCACTACCTCTTTCCTGCTATGCCTTTTAGCGTTCCACCTTTCCAGCCTAACATATATATCTCCCGTCCTCTTCCATCTGCCAACTAGCCAAGCCAAATTTAACATTTTCCCATTAGTAAACCTAATTAACCATTTGTCATCCATAAAGGGATTAATGGTACTGGCTACCAAATATGATTCTGAATTGCTTGGGATAAAGCTTTCCAATCATCTTCCGCAAAATTTCTCATCACAACCATAATTGAATCCCATTGAGTTTCCAACACTTCTTCCTCCTTTCTTACCCAATGCCTCAAATGGGTCTGCAAATTCAGAATCTTGTCTTTAAGAAGTGCTACAACAGTGGATGATTCTGCGATAACTACTTCTTTGTAGGATTTCAATCTGTGAACCACCCAGCCTCCCATTCTGAAGACTTGTCGAACTTCCCCTGTCCTCTTAAAGACGACGGTTCCTATGGTGGACTCTTAGCAATCTTCTTTCCTCGTTCAGCAGTCAAAAACAATTCATCTCTAATTTCGAGGCTTGGTCTTCATCTAATAGGACGAAAAAAGATTTCAGCATTGTCCAGAAGGTTTTCCAACCATTCTTCTCATACCCGATGGGAATAATAGCGCTTTTCCGACCGCCAGAAGAAGGCCAGACTACCCATTCCATGTACCAAATTTGTCTGGAAATGAATTTCTGAACTCGGTAATGTCCAAGAGCACCTTGAATTTGAACATGGAAGTAAGCTGAAATCTAGTTCTACGTAATTTCAGCCATTTGACACTCAAACCACAAAATTGAGCAGGATGCAGTGGTACTAGAACTTTCCTCTTAGCATCCTCCAGCATAAACTTTCCATCTTCAGCCCAAATAAACTAAAAGAAACGATCAATGCAGCAAAGCAACTACTAACTTCCATTCTTAATCAACTAAAGAACCTCACTAGAAGGCGACTGAATCTTCCCTCTGAAGAATTTGGATGGAAGAGGAAGAAGGTAGGGGGAGGGAAAAGAGAGAACAGAGCACACTTACCTGTTCCACTCCTCTTTTCTTAAAGAACTTATATTCAAATACTTTAGATCAAGTTCCTTAAGAAATGATCGGTGCAGTTAAACATAAAGTAAAGGTGATGTAGTTAACAAATAGTTAACTTTACCTAAGTTAGTTGTTAGTTTGTTGTATTTTGAAGTTAGGTTGTTTCCTCCCCTTTCCATGGCTTCCTCTATAAATTAAAAGCCATTTGTATCTCTTGGATCATCTAATACAATCCAGATTTTCTCTCAAATTCGGTTACACCAATTTGGCAACAGAGCATCCAACATCCTTGGGGCTTTTATCAATGGCGGGAAGAAAGAATGTTCCGTTGGGGGGAGATTCTTCACTCGCCGAAAAAGAGGCGGAAACTACTGCTCTCTCCACAATCATCAACCATTCATTTATTGATGATTGAAGGAGCTGTTTAAAATTTGCAGCGGAATGTGGTGGAGATTAAACAGATTTTGAACGTTTTGGTAGACAAGATTGACAATCTACAAGTGCAGCAAGAACAACCAAGAAAGAAGAATGGAAAGGACATTCAAGAGCAAGGGATTGTTATTGGGATAGAGACGCAGCAACCAACTCCAAGATTGCCTCAAGATCCCTCTCTCATCAAGAATCCCTCCCTCTTCCTCGAAGAAATCCTGACATTCCCCTCACTCCTCACCAAGAAGTCTATCCTAGGGCACCTAGAGATAATCAAGAACCTCCTTTTGCTCCTCAACAATATCAATTCGGGTAGAGGGATCATCATACTCATCGTCGATATGATCGCTTTCCCATTAGGGTGATGGCCGACGACAGCACCACTGAATTCAACATCATCATCGAGAGCCAAATGATTACAAGATGAAGGTCGATCTTCCTCCTTTTGATGGAAAGTTGGACAACGAGGGCTTTCTTGAATGGATAAAGAATGTTGAAAGCTTCTTTGAATATATGTCAACTCCGGATCACAAGAAAGTAAAGCTGGTGGCTCTTAAGTTGAAAAGCGGGGCATCAGCTTGGTGGGAGCAGTTGGAAACAAATCGGCATCGCTTTGGTAAGGCTCCTATTCATACTTGGGAAAAGATGAAAAAACTAATGCAAGCTAGATTTTTACCTATCAATTTTGAGCAAATCCTATACAATCAGTACCAAAACTGCAAACAAGGTACTCGTTCTATAGCTGATTATACCAAGGAGTTCCATAGATTGGGGGCACGAACAAATCTTGGTGAATCGGATCAATACCAAGTGGCTCGATTTATCAGTGGTCTTCGTGCAGATATTAAAGAAAAACTCCAATTACAACCTATTGGGTATTTAGATGAAGCAATCACCACGGCCACAACAGTGGAAGAACAACAAGCGAATCGGTTCAAGAACCAATATCAGCAACGAGCATTAGGCGATAACCAGGCAAGTTCTTCAAGAAAAGGAGCTTCTTTCTTGGATAAGGCCACTTCAGGTACTACTTCTAATCTTATGAGCAGGAGTCCCGAGGACCAAAAAACTGCTGACCAACCCACAAAACGAACTCCCAATGCCTACACTCGACCTACATTGGGAAAGTGTTTTCATTGCAGGCAAATCAGCCATCTATCCAATGAATGTCGGATAGATGAATGTCCCCAACGTAAAACAGTCAATCTTGTGGAGGACTTTCAAGATTTTGATGATTCTTGCAACCACGAATCTGAGGACGAAATCGCCTATCTTGCACCTGATGAAGGCGAACAGGTTTCTTGTGTTTTAGAAAGAATTCTCCTAGCTCCTAAGGCACAATCCATCCACCAGAGGCATTCTTTGTCTCGCACACGACGCACAATAAATGGGAAGGTATGCAATGTCATTATCGACAATGGGAGCACTGAAAATGTTGTTTCCAGTAAGTTGGTTACAGCGTTAAACCTCAAAGTTTCTCCTCATCCTACCYGATACAAGGTTAGTTGGATTCGTAAAGGAGGGAAGGCTCTTGTTAATACTTTGTGTACGATTCCTCTATCCATTGGTAGTAGCTACAAGGATCAAATCACATGTGACGTCCTTGACATGGATGTTTGCCACATCTTGTTAGGTCGTCCATGGCAATTTGATACTCAAGCTATACATAAAGGAAGAGAAAATACATATGAATTTACTTGGATGGGGAAAACCGTGGTTTTACTACCCTTATCAAACACTGGATCTCTTTAAAATCCAGAAAAAGAGAACCTTTTTCATGTGTGCACGGCGAAACAGCTACATTACCTTTTTCAACACCATATTGACCTTATTCCCGGGGCTACATTACCCAATCTCCCTCGCTATCGTATGAGCCCTGCAGAATACAAAATCCTACATGACCAAATAGAGGAACTACTAACAAAAGGCCATATACAACCTAGCCTTAGCCCATGTGCGGTTCCCGCTCTCCTTACACCTAAGAAAGATGGATCTTAGCGAATGTGTGTGCTATCAACAAGATTACAATTAAGTATCGGTTCCCTATCCCTCGAATAAACGACCTCCTAGACCAATTAGGAGGCGCTCAATTTTTTTCTAAGATAGACCTCCGTAGCGGATACCACCAAATACGCATCCGTCCAGGGGACGAGTGGAAGACAGCCTTCAAAACCAACGAAGGATTGTTTGAGTGGCTGGTCATGCCTTTCGGCTTATCAAATGCACCAAGTACCTTCATGAGGCTTATGCACCAGGTTCTTCTTCCTTACTTGAATAAATTTATTGTTGTATATTTCGAAGACATATTAGTATATAGTATAACTCGAAGTGATCACCTAGCACACTTAGAAACTCTATTTACAGCTCTACACACCAACAACCTAGTTTTAAATCTCAAAAAATGTCCCTTTTTGGATTCGGAGATATCATTTTTGGGATTTATAATCAATAACCAATGACTGAAAATGGATCCACAAAAAATAAAAGCCATTTCGGATTGGCCCGAACCACAATCTATTAAGTGAATTCAGTGTTTTCTAGGAATCGCATCCTTTTACAGAAAATTTATTCGGAACTTTAGAACCATAGCCGGTCCCCTCACCGACTGTCTAAAAAAGGGCCGTTCCACTAGGGCAAGGATCAAACCACCAGTTTTCTTACACTCAAAAACAAACTAACCAAGAGCCCAATTCTCAAACTTTCGGATTTTACCCAACTCTTTGAAGTCGCCGTTGATGCTTTTGGGTTGGCATTGGAGCAGTCTTATCTCAAAACCAACATCCCATTGAATATTTTAGTGAGAAATTGAATACGTCCGCCAAAATTGGAGCACCTATGAACAAGAGCTTTATGCCCTTGTTCAGGCTCTAAAACAGTGGGAACATTACTTACTAAGTTGAGAATTCATCTTATTTACAAACCATTTCTCCCTTTAAGTTCCTGCACACACAAAAATCAGTGAGCAGAATGCATGCTCGGTGGCTTTCTTTTTTACAAAGATTTGACTTTGTCATCGAACATAAGAATGGTACTCTAAACAAGGCCGCGGACGCCCTCAATAGAAAAGGTTCTTTGCTTACTGTCCTACAAGGCGAAATCACAGCTTTTTCATCCATACCCATAACTTATCCAGATGATCCTGATTTTAACTCTATTTGGACTCAATGTCAGCAGCACAAAAATACAGGGGATTTTCACATCCTCGATGGGTTTCTTTTTAAGGGCAGCCAACTTTGAATTCCTCGCACTTCTTTAAGAGAAGCCTTAATCAAAAGATCTCCATGAGGGGGGATTACCTGGCCATTTTGGCCATGATAAAACCTTTACAATAGTAGCAGCCCGTTTTTTTTGCCACAAATAAAGGGATGAAACAGAATACGGGCTTATACATTCATTTACCTACACTGAAAACTATTTGGGAAAACCTATCTATGGACTTTGTCCTAGGTCTACCCCGCACTCAATGCGGGTTTGATTCAGTATCGGTCGTGCTCGACAGATTCAGTAAGATGGCTCATTTTTTGGCATGCAAAAAGACATCAGATGTTGTGCATGTTGCTAATTTGTTTTTTAGGGAAATAGTTCGCTTACATGGCATACCTAAAACTATAGTTTCCGATCGAGATGTCAAGTTTCTCAGCCACTTTTGGAAGACATTGTGGAGAAAATTCGATACATCTTTAAAATACAGCACTACCAACCATCCACAAACTGATGGTCAGATGGAAGTAACAAATAGGACTCTTGGCAACCTGAAACAGTGTATTTGCAGGACAGGCCAAAACAATTGCTTTCAACCACATACAAAATAGAACAGGAAAGTCTCCCTTTGAAGTTGTTTATACTAATTTTCCGCGATTAACCATGAATCTAGCTAACATACCTCTTTCTATTGATGTTAGTGTCGAAGTAGAGCAGATGGCAGAAAGGATAAGTCAGTTACATAAGGAGGTTCGTGAACATATTGAGGCAGCCAATTCCAAGTACAAACAACAGGTGGATACTAAACGAAGAGTGCTAGAATTCAAAGAAGGAGATCTAGTCATGATACACCTAACTAAAGGACGACTACCAGCTGGATCTACTCACAAACTACAAAAGAAAAAATTTGGTCCTTTTGAAGTATTAAAGTATGGACCGAATGCCTACAAGATACAACTACCTCCTGATTTCAACATCAACCCTATCTTCAATGTATCTGACATCTATCCATATGAGGCAGCAGACTCTTTTTCTTTAGCATCTTAACTCGTGGTCGAGTTTTTTTGAGGAGGGAAGTTGATGTAGTTAACAAATAATTCACTTTACCTAAGTTAGTTGTTAGTTAGTTGTTAGTTAGTTGTATTTTGAAGTTAGGTTGTTTCCTCCCCTTTTCGTGGCTTCCTCTATAAATTAGGAGCCATTTGTATCTTTTGGATCATCTAATACAATCCAAATTTTCTCTTAAATTCGATTACAAAAGGTGTTGGGGACTATATAGTAAAAAATCCCCTAGATGGAAAGAAATCAAGACCAGTTCGTAACTCCTCTAGAAAGGAAGAAATTAGTTTGGCCCTATCCAATTCCAAAGCTTCCTTGCATGTTCCATTCGTATACTTTTTGTAAATTAGATTCTTTTCTTCGAAGTCTCAAATAGAGGAACCTTTTGTCATCCCCTTGGCATTTGGATTGATTTCTCATCACCCGGTTTCTATGTCGTGCTTTCTCCAAAAATATTTGTTACTTATCAATGAATAAATAAACAAACTATTTGGATTTAGATAAGTGCCCACACATCTTGAAATAAGCTCATTAATCTTAAAATGAAAAGGCAAATGTGAAATGAGATGGCTAAACAAACCTGAATGCTGCAATCACGCTCACCAAAATGAACAACATTGCCATATTTATCTGCAAGGACCTACATAGGCAAAAAGTGGGACAAGTGATAAATCAGCAGCTATACACGGTTTTATCTTTAGAAAAGGAAAAGGGGGAGAAAAATAGATGCACCCAAAGCTCTACATTAAACTGATTAGAAGGATATGTATCCAACCTCAGAAATGGGGCAAACTGTGTAGTAAAATACAAAACTACCCACTTGTAATGATATATGGTAAGTTCCTGTGGAACTATATTTTTTTTCAATAGTAAACCTTTTTTTTAAATAATAAAACACTTCATCAGGAGAAAGAAACAAAAATGGAAGATAAAAATATTAGCCATACAAAATTTCAACTGATACTGTATTTTGCCTGCACTAATGCACATGCAAACAATAATGAACACAGCAGTGAACCTCGAGCAAGAAAGAAAAACATGACCCTTTATTTGCCACGTAGCTCATTAGCTAATCAAAATGCTAATGCATAAGCTACCAACGGTTGTCAATAGAAACATTTTTCTTTTATGAAAAGTCAGCTTAGATCGAAGAAAATGAAAGAACACCCACGGGCACTCCAAAAGGATGAAGGAAAGCCCAGACAAAAAGAGGTAGGAAAAAAACAAACTAACAAACTTAAGAGTTAACAGGTAATGGATCCAGTCAATTGAAACATCAATATTCATTCCATACGATAATATTTCATTAGGTTCAATATTCAACTAGCATGTTTTTATTCTATTTCATTTCTTTCTTTCATTATAATTTGTCTCTTTTGTTTGATCATTCTTTACTGATTAATATTTTTGTTACATGTGAATATGAATTACTCTCTTCTCTATTAAAAAATAGTGTCCTTAGATTTCAGATAATTTACCTGAAACTCAATATGTCTTGGATTTTGGACATATTTTTCAAGATAAACACCATCATTCCCAAATGCAGCTGCAGCCTCACTTTTCGCTTGCTGCAATAAAGTAATAAAGCCAAACATAATTAGAAGCTTCACCTACAATGAATTCAATGTTCACATTGTACATGTACCTATACAATATTTGATAGACATAACGAAATATTCAATTGAAAATGAAAAAATTATGGGCAAAATTTAGGAATATATTACTCTTTAGCATATAATATAGATATCTAATAATGATAAATGGACAAAATATTGGAGGAATTTTGTTTAAAGGTTCTAGGGAAAATGCTGTAAGAGAAATTGTTCGGCACATTTTACAGGAAAAAAATGATAGAATATTCAAGGATATTCAGAGATAGCAAGGAAATTTTGTAAGTGCTTGAGTTCAAAGTCTCCCTTTGAAGTTCTCTTTTAAAGTAATTTTAACTACAATTCTTTTTGGGGAATTTTTGTGATCCCCTTGGCTTTTGTAGGATAATCTCTCATAAATTGTTTTAAATTTGGTCATCTAATGAAAGACCTGCTCCTTACCCAACAAAAAAACATATATGGAAGAATATGAAAATTAAAATAACACTAATAAGGTATCCTTGCAGGTAAACAAACTGCATTAAGAAGTACCTGCAACAACTTCACAAACTCATCAGGTTCTTTAGCAAGTCTCATGCCACGTCCTCCACCGCCTGCTGTTGCCTTCAAAGTAATCAATGTTGTTAGTTGAAAAAAAATATCATCATGGATGAGAAATTCGATACAAATTCAACATGATAAGGAAGACAGCTATATGCAGATATTATTTAGGCAAGTTTTAAGTACTTTTTGGTGAACAATACAATTCCTGTACAGAAAACAATCTACATAGAGCATTGAGTTCAGAGGAAATGTTGTATAATATTCACAGATTATTGACAAAAACTTTAAAGAAATATTTATAGGCCATAATGTCACTAATTGAGAAATGAAACCATAGAACTTCCACTACAAGCGACCTCAGAACTCCCACACAAACACAACTGGAATAGAAATCATGGTGCCATGCAAATTTGAGCAAACTCTCTTGATAGTTCTTCCTGCATGAGCTCAATAATTTACACATCTGCTGTTTAATGGGCCACATCTATTGAGCCCAATCAAAGACTTGGACCAAAACCAGAAGCAAGGTGCCCATTATCAGAACGACCAACATGCTGATTACCAACCTTTGAACAGCTCCAATTTTTCTTATAATTTTCACATAAAACCCTATAAGAAGAAGCACTCTATTCTAGCAAGAATTTAGATTTTTAACATTCATTCCCATAAGTCTTTAAACAAATATATACAATTCAAACTAATACCTTGATCATTACGGGATAGCCAATTTCCTGTGCAAGTTTGATTCCTTCTTCGGTGCTCTGGAATATGAATGTCCACAACAAATAAAAGGTAAGATTAATGTTTGCTTTGTTAAGTTGCAGCAAAGCAAGCAAATAATATAATGCCTATTGACCAACGGTATACCTGTAAAAGACCATCACTTCCTGGGACAGTTGGTACACCTGCTTTCTTCATTGTATCTCTGGCAGTTGATTTGTCACCCATAACTCGGATGCTGTCAGGCTGCACAGTGCATCAAGAATTTCATAGTTTTCAAAATGTACAGAAAATTATGACAGCTTGGGATTAAACTTCCACATGAGCTACATTAGCTAGGAAATCTTAAAGTGCTTACATTAGGTCCAATAAAATTGATTCCATGTTCTCTACACATTTCAACAAATACTGCATTCTCAGCAAGGAAGCCATATCCAGGATGCAGCATCGTACATTGCCGACTGATGGCAGCAGAGAGGACATTTGGGATCACTAAGTACCTGTCGAAGCACGTGCATTATTATCACACAGTATAGATCCAAAAGAAGAACTAATCATGTGAATATAAACAACAAATTTTCGGGCAAGGAACAATATTTATGAAGAAATGAAATGTCTAAAAATTTGAAGAGATGAATATGGGATGTCCTTTCAAAACTTAAAGTCAAAGATATCATAGAGAAACTTTCCAGTTGGCATTAATGGAATGGGGTGAGACTTATAAAGACTTTGGACACACAAAAATTCCACCCAGAAGCTAGGCAACTTGCAAAATCAAGAATTCCCTAGTCATGTCCATTTATTCAAAAAAAAATTATAGGTCCTTAAGAACAATGCTCCATCATAAGCTGTATCTGAAACTCCTTGAGAGAGGGCATTTAGGTCAGAGTTGGTTTTGTAGAGCTTGGGGTTAGAAAATCAAGCTTATGTTTGCATATTCTCATTTTTTCTAGCTTGATTAACACTGTAGTGCCCCCTTCTGATGGTTGATATGCCTATCTTGTCTTCTGTCTAATTTTTGAATTTCCCATTCCATCTATGTTTGATTTGCACTTAATAGCTCCTAGACATGGAGTTTCAGTTCACTCACTTAGATTATTTTCATCTGATTGGCATATTTCCTCCTCATTTGTTTTTGTCTCCAATATGGTGTGCAATTTCTCTACCTAGGTTATTCAGAAGAAGCTCCCCTCTTCAGCTCTCCTTCACTCTTTTTGCATCCTTTGTGTCCTTATGCAGCTAAGTGTTGGAGTATTCTTCTTTGCCAGTTCAATGTTGATTGGGTTTTTGATCTAAAGGTAGTAGATAGTGTGTTCCAACTCTTTTGTGGGCTTCATCTTTCTTCAGCAGTTCAATTCTTATGGATTAATGTTGTAAAAGCATTATTATCGGAGTTATGGTTCTAGAGTAATTCGTGGTTGTTCGAGGGCAAGATCGGGTCCTTCATGGACAGTTTCTCTACAGCTAAGTTTAAAGCCTCCCATTGGTGTTCTTTTGTTGATTCCTTTACACATTATTCTCCTAATCCCATTAATGCTAATTGGGGAGCATTTATTAACTCTTTGTAATTTTTGTACTTTTTTTTTTCCATTTATTCCTCACTCTTTTGAGAGTTTATATCCTTGAACATTTTATTATCTTTTCATTAGTTTAATGAGAAGTTGTATCTTGTTCAAAAAAAAAAATCTCTACATTGCTCCTATGATACAGCTTGCCTTTTAGCACAATCAACTGGGGTTCTTGTTTTGAACTAACTCATGACTAGTAAATGAATCCCTTATTGTGACACCGAGTAAAGGAGGGTACATAAATGAACTGACACCACAATGCGAGGGATCTTGAGATCAAGCAAGCATGGTTAAGAAAGGCTTAAAAGAATTGATAATAACTTTTTAGTACAACATGTTGGGAAGGGGATTCGAACTCACAACCTCTCGGTTGGAGGTATATGCCAATTACCGCTGAGCTATGCTCACTTTGGCAAAAGAATTGATAATAACTACCTAGAAGAACTCTAAAGTTAAGCATATTTGGCTTTGAGCAATCTTARGAGGTCGGTTGGGTGACCTCCTAAGGGATTTTTCTAGGGAGCATGTGAGTGAGGACAAACAACAAAGTATGCTAAAAGGACCTAAGGATATGTAGTCAATGGAAATGGCTTCTAGGGATATAAGGTTTAGAAGAAATCTTAAGGACGCTGAAATTGAGGAATTGGCTTCTCTCCTACACCTTTTATCCCTTCTATTTCTTCAATATTTCTAACGTTTCCAACAATATCTTCCTCAATTCCAAATACATTCCTGAGATTGAATAGCACTATATCCATTTGGTAGGAATAAAAAAAATCGAACTAGAAATTGTATTTGAAAACTATAAGAACAAGAAAATACAATAGAGTATCCAAGTAATTCGTGGAACTAATATAACTCCCTCCTGAGCAAATCTAAGCCCATACAATTGCTTGCCCTCAACCTCTCTCACTCACTTTACTCATAACTGCCTCTGACTTACTACCTCTAAAGGTAGAACAAAGGTGTTTCAAATTCTTGTATTCTAATAATGTTATGGAATTTAGTCCTTCATGCCTTCACAAAGCCCCATATTAAGTTTCAAAAGAAGGCATGTAAAAAAATCACCATCACGTTCCAAGAGAATATTTCAAATACCACACTCAGTAGTTAGAAAAAATTTAAGATAAAAATATCATCTGCCTCCACAAGATACATTTAATTTAGCAACCTGTGTCCCGATTTCAAGCTGCATAAAGTCTTGGGTGCCAAAGTCCACAGTTTGATACCAAGGGTCTCTTGAAAATCAAATATTTCTCCCATTGTCAACTTGGAGAATGAAAAATAGTTCAAAATATACTCACAATTGGAATCATGGGACCAAGGAAGCTTCTGATGCTTCTTCCAGATATCCTGTTATAGCACACCAACCAAAATATTGAGAACCATATTTCTGCCGTCAATAACTTAGCACCATAATGCTGCTTCTTCCAGATATTCTGTTTGCACATGAACTAAAATATTGAAAATCATACTTTGCATTCAATAGTTCTGCACCATGATGCTTCTGGTTTGTAGGAAAGTTTCCAGAGCCATATTCAAAAACCAAGACTTTTTCTTTTGGGAACAAGGAAGCACTTTTAATGTATCCAAAAGTGACAACCAAGAATCTGAAGAGCTCTCTGTAAGGGTGTACAAAAAGAACATCCCAGCTAGTATTGAGTGCATTGATGGTACAATTACAAAAGGACTTTAGCTAAAACACCCCATGAAGAAAAATAATATTTAGCAAGCTCAACTCTTTCCTCCAAATCTCTGTATTTTCCTTCAAAAATCTTTTAATATTTTTTATACCAAAATCTCCAAATCAACAAGCTTCAAAAAAGGTGTCTTTACCTGGTAATCGGCCCAAGCTGCTAGTATATATATTTTTTCTAATGAGAAACAAGAAATATACAATATTATGTCTAAAAGCAGGGGAGGCCTGCTCAGTGTTCTCATATCTTTTTCCATTGTCCCTTTAGCAGAAGTGGATTTCTATTTTTCAAGGTTGTGGATGCTCCCTGGTATTTGACTCTCTTCCCACTATTAAATCGGATGGGCTTAAGAAGAGCCAAAGTGTTGTGGATCCTCAATGTTGTCAGAGCAACTTTTGTGCATCTGGATCAAGAGGAATTAACCAATATTTGCAGGCGAACAGTTGGATTGGGACAAAAAAAAGATGGAACTAGTCAGACATTTAGTGGCTTCACAGTGTGCTCTTTCTAATGAATTTAGATTTTCAAATATCAATAAAAAGTTTGATCCATTCCTTAGAAAGAAGGAAAAGAAAACTATGACCATAAGAACAATTGGAAAATATTGTATTGAGAATCTTTGCCAAATGCCCAAGAGCACCTGAAACTGATCAGAAAGTACTCCCAACAATTTTTTTCTTTTCTCTTTTGAAAAATGCTCCCAACAGTCCCTGATACAAGAACAATGGAAGAATAAATGTGATTGGTCCTCCCCTGCCTTCGTACATAAGACAAACCAGCTTCTCATAATATTCTGAATGAACATGGTTACTCAACTGAGAGACAAGGAGAGATGGTACACGGAGGTCTTGATAAAACATCTTGGAAAGTTTTCCTCAATTTTTGGAGTTTATAGACCACCTTGTAATAGTGGCCAAGGAGACTCCAAAACTGTAAATATTTAGGACTCCCCCCAGGAGCAGTCTGTAAACATTTTAAGGGGCCAAGTTCCTAGAGAGTGAGTACCAAAAGAAAAAGCTAGTAAAAAGGAATAACACATAACAAAGGTCAAAGGTCAAATGAAAGAGATAACAATTCGAAATAAAGACTATTAAATGGGAGCCTTCTTAATATGGATGACTCCAAAACAGTAACTCCTAGTTAAAGGGTATGAAAAAATAACTCTAATTTCTTTTATAAAGAAACGTAAAAAGAAGACCGAGACAGAGACTGGAATGTATACAGCAACAACCCAAGAGCCTAACCCTCTGAGAAACATGAACTAAACTATTAATCCTTAATAAAGTTGAATATTTTATGAATCCCAGGTATTTGTTGCGTGTCATGCTCCATAACATGAATTCACTCTCGCAGGATCTTCGTTTCAGTAACAGAAGGAAAGATGGAACATGAATATGATATATGGGTATGAATAAACAATTGAAGTACACAAATGGAAGAAATGGTGGCTGCAGCAGAGTTATAATGAACATAAAATATGATAGATACAACTTGTGAGCAGGAATAAAAAACAAAGCTTTAAATGGTGGCTTACGATTGGCTACTTGGTGCTTCACCAATGCAGACGGCTTCATCGGCCAATTTTACGTGGAGCGCATCCTTGTCAATGGTTGAGTACACAGCGACACAAGGAATTCCCAGTTCATGGGCGGTTCTGATAATACGAACAGCAATTTCTCCTCTATTTGCGACCAGAATTTTATGGGCGCGGCACGTAACTTGAAGGGGTCTCCCACTGTTGGAGGATTTACGACAAAATTGCACTCCATTAGCTCTATGTCTGGGAAAACTGAGCTTATTAACTCCCATGAAGGTACATTGAGAACTCCGCAATGCTCTGGTCGTCCCAGCAAACAAACCCTTCAAATCAAACGAAGAAACAAGTTGAGTGAGTTAAAATGAGAAATCAGAAGGAGTGGGAGTTGAGGGAGAGATGAACTGACGGTGAGAGAGGGGGCGCGAACAGATTTGCAAAGAGGCATTGCGGCGTCCATGGGGAAGAACTGAAGGAAGGGAATGAGCGTGTAGAATGAATGAAGAAGCAGTTGAGATTTGAAGGAAACGAGGAGATGGGAGTGTCGATGAAAACAAGGGAGCTCTGATAGGAACCTCCGCCCCCACCAACTCAATTTTTCTGAACCGGTTTACTTTGGTTTTTAGGGTTTTTTCTATAATAAATGTGTTTTTTTTTTTTTTTCAATTTGCAAATTTAATCCCGCTCGGTCAAAGTTTGAATTTGACTCTATAGTTTTAGTTTAGTTTTAATTTCATCTCTGTAACCTTCAAAAAAATTTAAAAAAAATTCATCTCTATAATTTAGTTAAATTTGCAGATTGTTTTTATCGTTGAATTTTCTATTTGGATAATTTGGCTTAGAGCTTAATAGGTAAAAAAAATAAAATAAAATTAGTGGACTTTTCGAGTAGATAAATCACAATTTTAAACAAAAAAAAAAATTGGTGAAATTTAACTAAAATTATAGTGAAAGAAGTCTTCTTTCTTTTATCACTTAGCTTAGGAGCGTGCGAGATGATAAAGTTTCATGTACGGTTTTGAATAAGATACATAAATAAAGAATCTTTTTTTCAATTCTGACTCCCCCATTATTTCAATTCTTTTGAATATTATCAGCCACTCAAGAGTCAAGAGTCTATAGGAATCAGACTATCTCTCTTTATTTATACGCAATATCTTAAAGTAGCAGAGTGACTACTCGTAGTTCCTCTCTTGATAGTGTTCTCGTGCAACAATGCTTATGACAGCTCGTTTTCTATTCAGGTTTCTAAAGGTGGTGGTTGGTTAAAAACAAAAAGTGGTGGCTGCAATATTTAAAATAAGAAAATTTGAGTTTGAATATCCCACTAATATATATTTTTTTCATTTTTTTTAAATTGACATATTTATATAAATAAAATTTTCAATTTAGGAGAGCTTGAGCCTACCCGAAATAGAAATCACAAATTACATAAACTAACAAAAAAAGCACTATAAATTAATATAAAAAATAACAAAAGAATCACAAATAAGAGGAGAGGATTGTCAAAGCGAGTATATGTCAGCAGTAATTGGTATATATCCTCAACCAAGAGATTGTGAGTTTGATCTTCACCCCCAAAAATTGTACTGATAGGATGGACCAAACTGAAAACTAAGTCTTAATAGTATGAACCAAATTGAAATTAAGCTCAAACTATGTGGATGAAATTCAACTTTTAAAAATTATTTGGACCAGATTAAAACTTGACTCAAGCCACGAAGACCAAACTCATAAGTTTTGGTCTGGTTAACTTTTTTCAAATTTTTTTTAATTAAGTCTATAACCACAATTTTTACTTATATGTTTCTATATTTCGTTCTATACGTTCTCAAAATCTAAACCATATTTTAAAAATTAAAAACGTAGTTTTTAAATTTTCATTTTTATTTCTACAATATGGCCAAAAATTCAAATTTGTTTCTTTAAAATAGTGGAAAATATACCAACAACTTTGTTTCTTTACAAAGTATGTCATTGTTAGTTAAAATTGCTACAAAATCACACTATTATAAGTTAAAAATATAGAATAATAAATATGATATAAAAATGGTAATAAGTAGATGCATAACTCCCGAAGTTCTCATTATTTATATATCCTCTATTAATGTTGATTCTCGTATCATCTACCTTTGTAATCCTACATAAATAGAGGTGGTAAGAATGCATCTCATATATCTCATAGAAGTTTAATAGATAAATCTCACATTTTCTCTCTACTCCCCTTCTCTTCGTCTTTTTCTTTGTTCTTTTATGTTTTTGTTGTTAGTTTTATAACAAAATATACAATAAATTCAAACAATTAACATCATCAAAATTTTTTAGGTTATCATCCTTATAAAGTTAGAATGTCGGTAGATAAAATGAGATCGATCGAGTTGAGTAGAGTTTCATCTTCTCTTCCTCTCGAGGTTGCTAGTTTTCGGAGCTTCTCTTTACTCGTGTGAGTTGGCTTAGTTTGTACATACATCTTAAAATCATTCAAGTTTGGTTTGTTTACCAAACTTGTATAGTGATTCGAATTTTGATATTGGAGTAGTTGTTATCTGTTTATTCAAGAAATTGCACAACCTCGATTTAGCTCGAATTCGGTCCCTACTCCGACCTGAAACTCTAACGGAAGACCTACACAAGAGGGCAAAATCTCTTACGCTCAAGTCAGTAAGCAGTTCGGACTCAATATTAAGTTCGAGAAGAAATTYCATACCTGATGGTGAAATGAGGCCTTCTATTTATAGGTTTAGGTTCCGACGTGGCAACAGGCGGTTACCTTGGTCGAATTTGAGGTCGGACGTGTCAGGCTCCAGCAGATCGAGCTCGGACACTTTTCCGAAAACGACAAGTTGATCTTTGATAGGAAATGGCGAGTCTTCTACCTCGGAAGGTTCCGAGATGGAGCTCCGTAAGTTTGTTCTTTTCGGATCTTCCTTTAGTGGCGAATCCTCGTCCTCAACGTGGCAATAAGATTTTTTCTCCCCAAACATTATCCATTTGCATAGTCTGGCAATAAGATTTTCTTTTTATTAATATTTGATTTTAAGTTTGTTTTGTTTTCTCGTCAAAACTCCTGTTACGTGGCTTTTTCTCCACGTTCTTCTTCCCCTCTTTTCTCTAAGAGTTTTTGGCTCGTACAATTTTAGCGTTACTTTTTTTGGTATTTAAGAGGGGAGGCCACACAAATGAAGAATACAGAGTGCATGAAAACAAAGGAGAGAAACACCATTAATTTTATTTTTCATTTTTCAACATTTCTCTCTCTTCAATTTCAAACACCCATTTTCATTTTCTTTTACCTTTTTTTTCCTTCCTTTTCATTTCTCTCTTTATCATTCATCTTCTTCCTCCATCTTTTTCTTACTCATTTTCACTCTCAAGCCTCTAAAGTTCACACCTCCGGCGACCACGATCGACTCCGACGAACACAACGGCGCTGCAGATCCGGCGGTGATTGTAGACTTCGATGGGCACTCCGGCAGTGGCAGAACAGTGAGCCGGTGACAAACCCGTTCGGATCTACACCTCCACGACCTCAAAAGCTGATCCAGTGACACCCCGAACTCCTCAGTGGCGTCCCAAGTGAACAACATCAATCACTTCGGGCAGCGTCTTACACCTCAAAAGCCTTCGTGCCACTTGTTGTGGGCATGCTTGTCCGAGGTGTGTTACCCATGGCCGCATGTCCAAACCATCCTTACCACCCGCTTTACTTTCATGTCTTTAAAGCTTTCTAGTGTATTTTGTTTGTATCGGGTTTTTGGAGTTGTAGGTGGAATTTGGCCAAGCGACTTTAGAACTAGGTGTGTATTGGTAAGAGATATAAGCACGCCAAATTTCAAGCCAATTGGAGTTCACACGGGGCCTCTAGGCCACCGAGTGACTCCTCGCCACTTTGCATGTCTACACCTGCCACACCAAAAATGTCTTATAATGTACCTTAGAGGGGACCAATTAGTCATCAAACCTCCCCCGACCAAGTGTTTTATACTTTCTTGCAATCAAAGCTTTCTTACATCCAATGTTTACAATGCTTGTTTTAAAGATGTTTTCAACTGTTTTTCTCTCTCACGTTTTCCAAAACCAATTTTCTCGTAAAACGTGAGTGGATGCTAGACCATCGACCGAGATTGCCCGCAACTTACAATTTTTCTCGGTTGACTTGCTCGCTTGAGCTAGGGCAAGTGTCGTACAATCGCTTGAGCTAGGGCAAGTGCCGCACAATCGCTCGAGCTGTGCTAAAAAGGTGCGATTGTGACACCACGCATACCTATTAATTCATACCTTATAACAAAGTTTGAATTAATATAACGTGGGACATTTCAATCAAAATACAAAAATATTTTTTTTGGACCAAATAAAATAATAGGATAATTTTTTACAAAATGTGGTATCGTTTTCGAACGGGTGTCGTAGGGTGCTAACACCTTCCCTACAATTAGTTGACTCCCGAACCAAAAATTCTGTTTTCGTAGACCAAAATTTTTTTTAAATAGGTGACCAAATCACACCTCGTAGATGATTGGTGGCGACTCAAAACCCTTATCTCGAAAGAAACCCTTTAGGGGATGACGTCGGCCGTTCCGCATTGCGATGACGTTGCGACAACTTGGGGACTCCACGGGGGACATATTGAGAGTCAAGACATATTTTTGTCGTTTATTATCCGTTATAAATTATTTTGGTCCATCATTTTTTTTTGTGTGCACATATTGTCATTTAAGTATTTGCTTTTATAATTTCGCATTATCATGCATTTCACACAATACACAAGCCTCCTACCCGAGCTTTACCTTTAAGATTAGATCGGAGACTGAGTAGTGTGACCTTCGTGGAATTCGGTTGAAATTCTCCACTCAAGTTGACCATACTGCAAAAGTGTATGGAAGATTTGGGGGTCGTTTTCCTCTAGGTTGTGTAGGCATTAACTTTACACTCATTTTAGCATCAGATTTCTGTTGTTTATTTATTTTTTTGTTTTTTTTTGCGTTGGTGTTAATAAAGTGATTCATTTAAAATAGTCTCATGCATTTACATAAGTTTCTCATTTCTCACTTTATTTATTTTTACTATTATTATTATAATAATCGTTATTTTTTACAACAATTAAAAAAAAGTTTCACAACTTTCCCTTTTTCTTTAAAATTATTTTCCACCAATTGAGCCAAAATTGACCTAAGTATTAAATCATTAACATTGACAGTAAATTAAAGCATTAGTTTCAGTAAGACTCCTACCCAAGAATAGAAAGAGCAAGACCAAGAAATTGTCCGTCAATGGTTAGAGAACATGCAGCATACTCATGGTGATGCATTATCACAAAATATAATCACATCATTTCAAAGTCTAACGTTGCCAGAAAATCAGTTGGATATCTTGAGATGATTGTGGGAAGGCTTAAGAATAGATAGAAATACCCAGTTCATAAAAGAATATGGCCACATAGCACAGCTTATGTATGTACGAGTCAACTTCTCAGTGTTGAAAGCATTAGTTCGACATTGGGATCCTGCCTATAGATGCTCCACTTTTAGCTCAATAGATATAACCTCCACTATCGAGGAATACCACACTCTTCTAGAAATACTACTATAAGAGAAAATTGAGGTTTATTCCTATGATGATGGGTTTACATTAAAAAGGGCAATATCACTGCTCGTAGGGAAAATATATGCTGGTGAAGTTGAAAAACATGTGTAAAGGAAGGGAGAAAACATATACTTGCCGGTAGAATATATCATGAGTCTTCAGCAAAGATTCGTTAATGAAGAAAGTGAGTTATCGCTTTAGCACTGTGCCTATTCAATTTGGTTTTATTCCCAAAAGTTAGCGGATATATTGAAAAGCGAGTGGTCAAGCTATTTGTCAAGGTAGAGATGAGAGTTAATCTCGTAATACCCATCCTTGCAGAAACCTTCCGAGCACTAAACTTTTACAGATCAAGAGGAGTAGGGAAATTTATAGGTTATGCTCAGCTACTATACATGTGGGTCCTCAGCCGTATAAATTGTCCACCAAAGTTCAAGTGTCTTCAAGTCAAATTTTCAACATCGTGGAATAGATTGCAGAATCCCATTCTTGAATTCAACCAAGCGGAGTGGAGTCAAATCCACCAAGGGAATGATGATTGGAGCACTTTCTTCGCAGGACTAGGGTCGGAAGACGTGGAGTGGAGGGCCCGTTGGATGTCAACCAAACCTGTGATTTATAGGTGTGGCAAATTTCACAGTTTACTGTTATTGGATCCATGGGGATGTGTATCTTATGTCCCATTAATGGTGATCGCCAGATATGGGTACGTCAGTTTATCCCAGCACACATGATTTAAGAAACTCTGAATTTGCCTTTGATATTGAATTTTGCACAAACAACATTCAAGAGGTCGTAAAGGCATGGAAAACGATTGTCAGAATACAAAGTGGCAATTACCATGATAATACATTTAAAGGATACGGACAGTGGCATTCGAGTAGGGGAAAAACTGTGGTTCTCCTACCAACTGACAAGGGCAAAGGGAAGCTAGAGGTTCCCACTAAGAGAATTCTTACCGTAATGAGCCCAAATCAGCCCACTCAGCAGAAGGTTCGCGGGATAGAATACGAGCTGCGAGAAGGGAACCCCACATCAGCTAAAGAAAGACTACAACTAGGGTTCCATCAAAGTTTACCTCGAAGCATTGAGTTAAAATTGCAGCAGGCAAGAAGGGAGGTCGGTGACCAGGGAAAATAAAATAGACCGCTGGAAGTAGAGGTTCAGGACCCTAATAGAAGAATATAACAAGTAAGAAGGGAAGGAGAGAGCTCACAGACAACCTTGAAGGCGCGAGACAATCAAATATCACAACAAATGACTTCTCTACAAATCGAAATCTTGTCCCTTCGTGAAAAGGCATTGTGTTGGAGGAGAAAGAAGTACAGTTACCTCAGTATGCTCAAGAAAATCAAAGATTGAGGGAAACTATTCAGGCGCTTATGAGCTGTCTTGACAAAACTCAGAATGCTGCTGATGGGTTAATGCGAGATTATGCCCATATTAGGGAACAATACAACCAAGTGGGGTATGAATTATAGACAATGTGAAGCGCGATAACACATTGTTACGTCATAATTCAGAACATGTGCTCACCCAAGTCAGACAGGCAGCTCGAAGGGCAGATGGTTTAGCTGTAGGGCGAGAATAATAATGAAAGATCAAAAAGCTGAGCAGGAGAAAATAAGGAAAGATATTGAGGAGTTGCGTGAAAAGTTAGATGTCATCCTCCTCGCGTTGGAAAAAGGCAAGACGGTTGCGGATCCTACTACATCTAGCAACCCCGTGCATGACCAGCAAGAAATCCCGCCTTATCCACTTGGGTACGATCCACCTCTTAGGCTAGTAGCAGAGGGTTTCATGCAACAAAATACAACGTACAACCCTCTGTATGATATTCTGGTTGGTCAGTATCCACCTCCCTTTGTTAAGGGAACTCAGCAAATCCCAACCAACATCATTTTTCGAGAGCCCGAGCAAATGATGCCACCCCCTACAGTCCTTAATCTTGGTGGTCTCCTAGTCAAGACAGACCCAGTCGGACAAAGTACCCCCAGTAACGAGAAATTCGAAGTTCTAGAGGAAAGATTAATAGCAGTAGAAGGGACAGACGTTTTTGGCAACATCGATGCATCTCAGTTGTGTTTGATATCTGGATTAGTCATCCTTCTGAAGTTTAAGGTGCCAGAATTCGAGAAATATGATGGTTCTTCTTGTCCTAAGAACCACCTTATAATGTACTGCAAGAATATGGCAGCGTACGTCTAAAATGACAAACTGTTGATACACTGCTTTCAAGATAGTTTATCTGGTCCAGCTTCTCGTTGGTACATGCAATTAGATAGCTCTCATGTCGGTTCGTGGAAGAATCTGGCTGACTCCTTCCTAAAGCAATATAAGCATAACATAGACATGGCTCCAAATTGTTTGGATTTGCAGAGGATGGAAAAGAATAGCACATAAAGCTTCAAAGAGTACGCTCAAAGATGGAGGGATACGGCAGCTCAAGTCCAACCTCCTTTAACTGATAAAGAGCTTTCTTCCATGTTCATCAACACCTTAAAACAGCCCTTCTATGACCGGATGATTGGAAGCGCTTCCACAAATTTCTCTGATATTATGACCATCGAAGAAAGAATCGAGTACGGGGTCAAGCATGATCGATTAACTGGTATTGCTAGTGAGACATCAACCACGAAAAAGGCAAGTTCCTCAAAGAAGAAGGAGGGTGAGGTGCAAATGGTGGGAGCTGACCGACACTTTTGGAAACAGCAACCCTACGGTCAGACACCGCGATACACTCCATATTATTACCCAACCTCATACGGGTATAATCAGCAATATGTGAATAATACAACTTCACATTACTCCCCTTATGCTTCTCAAAATTTTCGACCCCCTACCAGTCAAAATTTCCAACCTAGGAGTCAGCAGTATAATACATTCTATACTTAGGGGCAGCAAACTAATAGAKGGGCACGTAAACAGACTCAATTCTACCCAATCCCTATGACTTATACTGAGCTTCTGCCTCAGTTATTTCGGAATAATCAATTGGCGCCTGTACCTGTAGACCTGATCAAGCCCCCATACCCAAGATGGTATGATGCAAGCTCGTTGTGACTATCACGCAGGAGCCACAGGGCATTCAACAGAGAACTGCACTGCACTGAAATACAAAGTTAAAGCTTTAATCAAGGTAGGTTGGTTGAACTTTAAAAAAGAAAATGAGCATGATGTAAGTAATAATCCGCTGCCGAATCATTAGAACCTCCAAATAAATGCAGTTGAATGCCAAGGGATCGAGTCAAAGAGTAAGACTGCAGAAATTACAACCTATGGAGGAACTATTTGAAATCCTCTTGGGCGGTGGGTATGTATCAGTGGAGTACCTATGCGCAAACCTCAAGTATAAAGGGTATGATGAAAGTCTGACGTGTCTATTCCATGCTGGGGCAAAAGAACACTCTCTAGAGTAATGTAACCATTTTAAAAAGAGAGTTCAAGAGTTGTTAGACTCAAAAGTCCTTACTGTTACAAAATCTCACCAGAAGAAATGGGTAAATGTCGTGGAGGATGTCTCGGCGGCTGAAAGCTCAAATGCCGCTCTTAAGCCAAAACCCCTCACCATATTTTACTGTGAAAAGTCTGATGCACCCAGCAGCAGTCGAAAACCGATCACTATCACGATCCCAGCTCCTTTCGAGTATAAAAGTTCTAAAGCAGTGCCTTGGAGATATGAGTGTAAGGTAACTGTCGGGTAAGAGATATCATCTTCTTCACTCTTAGTTGACAATATCACCGGGGTAGGCGGTGTGACACGAACTGGGAGATGTTATACACCGAATAGCCTGCTAAAGCGCATGAATGAGCCTACTAGTGAAAAAAAGAGAAAGCAAGTGAGAAGAAGAAGGAGAAGGTAGAGGAAGATAGGAAGGGGAAGACCAAACTCAACGAGGATGTTTATGATGAACTAGAGGAGGCAATTGCGGTAAAGGATGCAAGTCCTAAACAACTCGTGTCCGAGGAAGAGACACAAGAGTTTCTAAAGCTAATGAAGCAAAGTGAATACAAAGTTATCGAACAGCTAGGTCGGACACCCGCAAAGATCTCTATATTGTCTTTGCTGTTATCCTCTGAAGCACATCGGAATACACTGTTGGAGGTATGGAAGCAAGCTTTTGTTTCACAAGACATCACAGTGGACAATTGAGCAACGTTGTTGGGAATATAACGATATCTAATTTTATCACTTTTACAAATGAGGAGATACCACCAGAGGGTACATGACATATCAAAGCTCTCCACATCTCAGTTAAGTGTAAAAACTTCCTAGTAGCAAAAGTCTTTGTCGACCATGGATCTTCTATAAACATAATGACAAGGTCCACACTAGAGAAGTTACTAGTCGATATGTCCCATATGAGGCCTAGTACTGTGATAGTAAGAGCATTTGATGGAGCTCGCAGCACTGTTTCTAGGGACATTGAGATCCCGATCCCGATCCAGATAAGTCTTTACACCTTTGACATAACATTTCAGGTTATGGACATTACATCAACTTATAGTTTCTTGTTGGGGCGACCATGGATACATTCAGCAGRAGCAGTTCCATCCACTTTACATCAAAAAATTAAGTTTGCAGTTGAACAAAAGTTGGTGATCATATTGGGACAAGAAGACATTCTGGTCTCAAGGCTCGCTTCGATGCCATACGTTGAACCAGCAGAAGAAGCTTTTGAGTCATCATTCCAATCATTTGAGATTGCAAATGCTACAACTCTACATGGGAAGTTTGGAAGATCTAAACCACGGCTATTAGAGGCTGCCTTTAAGGGAGACAGTGGGAGTTTAGACAAGCTGATGAGGATGGCTAAGAACACAAAAAGGTTCGGGCTAGGGTATAAGCCAAATAGAGGCGACATCACCTGAGTGCAGAACAGTGAAAAAGCAAAACGTCTAGCAAGATTTGAGAATATGGAGCACGATTACCCAATGAGGACTATTCCACCTTTCAGCCACTCTTTCAGAAGTGCCGGCATAATCCATCATGAGTACGATGAGAGTTCTACAGTGGCAGCAGTGACAGAAGAAATAGAGCAAACTGGACCTTTTGTCTTCCTGTGCCCAGACGGTTTCGAGTTGAGCAATTGGAGTGTGTTAGAGCTACCGTCTTTTGTGAATAATAAGTCAAAGTAATTGTCCATTGTTTTTCCCTTCATTTTCTTAATTAATAAATTAATTTTCTATTCCATGTACATTATATCTAGACCTATTGTTTGTCTATAATTCTTCCATATCAAGAAAGTTTAAATTCATTCACTTTGTTCCTTTGCTATGCTATTTCTCTCCAGGCCAATTTATTCATTTGTTTCATTTTCTTTTCTTTTCTCCATTATCATGTCTTAAGCAGTAATACTCAGATTGAATGTGATAATAATTCGAAATACGTGCTCGATACACCTATATACAACATCGAGTCTGATGAGGAAATAGATGATGAGCCCTCAACTGAGTTATTGAGAATGCTAGAAGAAGAAGAAAAGATGTTGGGACCTCATGAGGAATTAACTGAGATAGTTAACTTAGGGTCACAAGCCGAGGCCAAAGAGGTTAAAATAGGCACTAGTATGTCTTCAGAGAGTCGCAAAAAGTTGATAGAGTTACTTCATGAATATTCTGATGTTTTTGCTTGGTCCTATCAAGATATGCCTGGTTTAGATACAGACATTGTAGTGCACAAATTGCCAATCAACCCAGAGTTCAAACCGGTGAGGCAGAAGTTACAGAAAATGAGGTCAGATATGTTGATCAGGATAAAAGATGAAGTAAGGAAACAGATTGATGCAGGGTTCCTTACGGTTTCTAATTACCCTGAGACATTGTCCATGTACCAAAGAAAAACGGACAAGTTAGGATGTGTGGATTATAGAGATTTGAATCATGCAAGTCCAAAAGACAACTTCCCGCTTCCGCATATCGATGTGTTGGTTGATAATACTCCTGGATTCTCGAACTTCTCCTTTATGGATGGGTTCTCAGGATACAATCAAATCAAGATGACACCTGAAGATCGCGAAAAAACTACATTAATTACACTATGGGGAACTTTTTGCTACAAAGTTATGTCGTTCGGGCTAAAAAATGTTGGGGCAACCTACTAGCGTGCCATGGTTACCATTTTTCATGATTTGATGCACAAAGAAATTGAAGTTTACGTGGATGATATGATTGCCAAGTCAAAACAGGGCGAGAAGCACACAACTATTTTAAGGAAGCTATTTGATCGATTGAGGAAGTTCAAATTGAAACTCAATCTCAACAAATGAATATTTGGGGCAACCACTGGAAAGCTTCTGGGCTTTGTAGTAAGCAAAGAAGGTATTAAAGTTGACCCAGATAAAGTCAAAGCAATCTTGGAGATGTCACCCTCACAGACGCAGAAAGAAGTTAGAGGATTCCTAGGACAAGGTTCATATCTCGCCTAACAGCAACTTGCGAACCCATCTTTAAATTGCTCCACAAGAACAACGATGGGGTTTGGAGTGAGGATTGTCAAGCAGCATTTGATAAGATTAAGCGGTATTTGCAGGACCCTCCAGTTCTTGTGCCACCAACTACAGGACGACCCCTTATTTTATATCTCACAGTGACTGAAAACTCAATAGGATGTGTACTGGGGTAGCATGATGATTCAGACAGGAAAGAACATGTCATATATTATTTAAGTAAGAAGTTTATCGATTGCGAAACTAGATACTCTCTAGTAGAGAAAACTTGTTGTGCTCTAGCTTGGGTTGCCCGACGTCTAAGACAATACATGTTGTTTTATACCACATGACTCATTTCAAAGATGGACCCCATAAAGTACATTTTTGAAAAGACATCTCTCTCAGGTTGAATTGCAAGATGGAAGGTTTCTCTTGTCTGAATATGATATTGTCTATGTGACTCACAAGGCCATTAAAGGGAGTGCTCTAGCCGACTACTTAGCTCAACAACCTATAAATGACTACAAATCGGTGAAGTTCGACTTTCCAGATGAGTATATCTCCACCATAACCACAGGTGAGGAAAGTTTAGACCCACAAACTTGGACCATGATGTTTGATGGTGCCTCTAAAGAGCTAGGTCATGGGATATAGGCTATATTGATATCACCTAAAGGGGATCTATACCGTCTTATTGTCAGGTTATGTTTTGACTGCACACATAATATGACTGAGTATGAAGCATGCTCCATGGGTGTCCAAGCTGCTATTGATATG